TCGTGTAAATTCTATAACTTTGCAAAGAAAGGTCATGTAGAGTTGGAAGAGATCTCATTTTAATCAGAAATGTGCGGGCTACAATCATGCCTCATTAAGAAAGGTTCAGGTGATTTTTTGGGGTTTCTGAAAAACTCGTTTTCGAGAAAACCAGGTCTTCGAAGGGCTATGCGGAAGCCGCATGGCCGTATTCGTAATCAGCATGGTCGATAACCTATAACTCACTAGATTCGGAGTAAAAAGCGTTTAATCACTTCGTGGGGTTCCCTCGTGAGATATCGTTCATCGAACCTAGCCGAATAATCGGCAATATGACCCATTAGTTGACCTTGTTCGATTTGTGGCCATAAATTTCAAGTACTGTTCCATATTTGTCTTTCTTTTCACAACATAGTTTAAACTCGTTACCCACGTTTGTATGAGTCATTCATTGAATAATTCATTGAATAAACATTTCTGTCGATCATCGGTCAGTTTCATGATGATTGGTGAAATTTTGGTGAAGCTTGACTTAGCATGGAAGCAGCCATGGCTGTTATGGGTGGCTTAATCCTCGATAATATGCAACGAATTGCGTCAGGATATTCTTTCTTAGCCGTCAGAGGATGTTTTTGAAATTGAACCTGAAAATGATCGCGTATATATTAGAGTAATTGTTCGAACTTTGGATACAATTCCGACTGTGTCACGGTTACACATGATGAGCTGTCCATTGTAAATGAACGAAATTTCCAGGGCCATTTGACGGCTCCTAGCCATACATAAAAATGTTTGCTGGTCAATTTTGAGCTTTTCAACAGAAGATTGAACTGGAATTTCTGTGTATGCTCCTCTTTTCTTCGCGAAAATAGTAATCCAATGTGGGTTTTGAAAGTAACTCGACTGGAGACGGCGTCGTGCTTTATGACATTGTTCCTCATTATGAAAGTAGACACGCGTCGATGTACTACCAATCTGAGGATTATTTATATCATCTGTAAATATTAATACGTGCCGCCATAAGATCTTTTCCTAGAGCATTTTGAATGGTTAGGGGACATTTTCTAGTTTACTCCCTTATATAGGCTTTTTATATTAACTTGATTAGGGGGGTGTATAGTTGAGTGCCCGTATGATTTTTTAGGTAAAATATTGAGAATTCTCTATTTTGTGACTGTTTTATGTTATATATTATATATTTATATATTTAATTAATATATTATTTTGAAAATAATTAATTATATTGGGTTCTTTTTTGAGTTAGATTTATGTTGTGATTTATGTTTATTCGGTGTTTTATAGCCTTTTGAGAGAAAATATTGAGCACCATTAGCTACAGGTGAATACTGTTGAATTCGACGAGGTGACACACCACTAAGAGCAAATTGAGCCTCATGGAGGCCGGGCATTTGAAGAGTTGAAATTTCAAGACAATCGCGTGTACTACAAGAGAATAGAGTAGGCGCACCTTTATAAAAATATTGAAAGATTGATGGACGTTGATCGGCTGTGAGCGACGCTGAGAAGTCAGGATAGAACGATTCTGTATCACTCGCCCATGCGTATGCTGCAAGCAGCTCATAGCTAGAAGAGGCTTGACAATTACTTAATGAGACAACGACAAGAACGAAGATGAACCACTTCATTTTGATAGATAAAATCAGTAAAATCGAGAAACGATATTTAAGAGAGAATATCGACCATTATGAGAAGATTCTCATATGGTCTCATGTACTTATCTAGGGCATTCTTTCTTATTGTCAAATCAATATTTGTTTAGAACACGTTATTTGAATAGTTTATATGTATATCTGTGTATTACTCGAACGAGAAAAAACGATGTATCATATAGGAGATTGTTTTGTTTGGTATATAAGGAAGTATGTAAGAGCTTTTTGATCTATATGCGATACGTTAGACCGAAAGAAGAACATGTATTTTTAAGTAATTGTAAAGCAAACTAAAAATATGAAAAAGATAGGACTAAATAAATGTCTTTATCGATAACACTAGACAATAAAAGAAACAACGTAGAATATCATATGGGAAAAGAGAGATGAAAAAGAAATCTGTTTTTCTCTTTTTCCCGTAGAAAACACTGACATATATGAGTGAATTGCAAGCCATTTGTACCGTTTAGATCACATTTTTTAAAAAAAATGAAAGTTTAAAAGAAAATGAGACGTCTCCCACCTCTATTTGATATTTATTCATGGAGCAGCCTTCAATTTATAGAAGGCCGTATAGGCGTATGTTCGTGTTTTCCCGTTAGTTTTGCTGCTATGGGGCCTTGCATAAATTGAATGCTGCTCCATGGATAAATGTCTTAGAGAGCTGGGAAACGTCTCATTTTCTTCAGAAATGTTTTCTCTACATGACAGATGTATTTGCAAAGGATTTCTAGATTGAGCTCGGGGACCTGGTTTTTTGAGATTGTGGTTTTCCAGAGACCCCTATTTTAGGAGTTTTGATGGAACTTGTGGAGGGATGTCCGAGTTCCATCAATTCCGGAATTTTGCAAAATCCACGAGAATTTGAGTCTTTACCACGAGAATTCTCCTTCTCACACAGGAATTCTGATAAACCACGTTACTTTCTTCCCGAGAATTTTACTTTTCCACAGAAATTATGAGGATTCCCACGAGAAATCTCCTGCACGAGAATTTCACTTCTATCAAAGGAATTGAGAATATCCCGGAGACATTCTCCACGAGAATTTTACTTTCACATGGGAATTCTGAGAATTACCAAGAGAATTTTAGTCTCTTGCACGAGAATTTTACTTCTGTCGCAGGAAATTGACAATATATCGGAGATATTCTCCACGAGAATTTTACTTTCACACGGGAATTTTGAGAATTATCACGAGAATTTTTGTCTGTTACACGAGAATTTTACTTGTATCAAAGGAATTGAGAATATATCGGAGATATTCGCCACGAGAATTTTATTGTCACACGGAAATTCTGAGAATTAGCACGAGAATTTTACTTCTGTCACAGGAATTGAGAATATCCCGCTGACACTCTCCACGAGAATTTTACTTTCACACGGAAATTCTAAGAATTCCCACGAGAATGTTAGTCTCTAGCACGAGAATTCTCCGTGGGTTAGGTTCTGAACTTGATTTGCGGAATGAACTCGAATTGAAGCTGCGTTGAAATACGAGTTCTATGTTAAGAAATCCAGAATGGTCGTGAAATGCGGCAACACGCACCGGCGA